AAAAATAAGAAATCAGGAAGGGGGCCAACACTTTTTCACACCACTGTAGATAGGAATAAACCTGCAAAGTTAGAAAAAAACTTGTTTTGCAAAAACAGCCTTTAAAGATATGCATTATAATTAAAAGTGCAATAAAATGCACACATAAATGTATATTTTGCATGCTTCCTTCCCACTAGTCTAAAAAAAAAAAAAAAAGAAGTCAAATAGTCCAAAATCTCAAAATTGACCAGTGCATGAAAAACAAAATTTTTTGCCTTAAGTTTATATTAAATGTAGTTTTTTTGAGGTGACTGTTGAAATTTTGAGTACTGGTTTTGTATGGGGAAATACTGTACACTAGTTTTAGAATAAATCTAGTTCTGAGGGCACCTTTATGTTGGGGTTCAAAGTTTGCTACTTTTGTTCTTTATGCAACCTGAAACGCAGGTTTCTGTTCAACACCAATACAAACTGGTGTGCATCACGTGTTAATGTAACCGTAATCAGGCACATGATGTGTAGCAGGGCGAGTGATGGGCAGATGGTAGCGTAGGGAAAGCTCCAGATACTTCTTATTCAGCTCCTCCTTCCCTTCACAACCTGAACCTGATCTCCGCAGACCCCCTGCACTCCAGCCGGTGACTAATGATTTCCTCTTCGTCACAGGAAAATAAAAACACCATCCCTCCTCCTCATCTCTGCATTTTCTGTATCTGACCTGCGATCCCTGAAGACAACAGGACAACTGAAATGGCCTCTATCCAGGGCAGGAAAATGCCAGATTGGTGAAATTAGGACACTTGCTGTCAATGCTAACAATGATGTTTTTATGTGCTTGCAGGGTGTTTATATGTTTTTTCGGAGGTGCTAAATAGCTACACTGTGCTGGCATATTGTGAGGCAAAGATTGCTGTGTGCTGCATTGTGTTTGGAAACGAGCTGAAACCATCTGTCGCAGTGAAGCGATCATATGCTATTAATTTCTTAAGAACACACTGACTTGCTGCATGACATACTAGCACAAAAACAGTAACATGCTGTAGGCCAGGCAACATGACACTTACCAGATTTTCTGGAATATAAATTGCATTTTTTTATCATCTGAATCATGCTGCGACTTTTTTTTCCCAAATTAATTTATATAATGGAATTAAAGGAATAGCTTACTCAAAAATGAAATTTGGCTGAATATGTACTCACCCTCAGGCCATCCAAGATGTAGATGAGTTAGTTTCTTCATCAGATTTGGAGAAATGTAGAATTACATCACTTGCTCACCAATGGATCCTCTGCAGTGAATGGGTGCCGTCAGAATGAGAGTCCAAACAGCTGATAAAAACATCACAATAATCCACACGTAATCCACACTAATCCAGTCCATCAGTTAATGTCTTGGGAAGCCAAACAATTATATTTAATGTGTTTTTTTTACTACAAACCATTGCTTTTGGCTTCCTCTTGTGATCTGCTCTGAATCAGGAGAGAAATCTGCATGAAGCAGCGTTTACAAGCCCAAAACAGTTTTAAACAAGTATTGTTTGTATTGTATTTTGATGTGAGAGATAACATGGGATGGACTGGACTTTGACTTGGCCACTCCAAAGTCTTCATTTTGTTTTTCTTCAGCCATTCAGAGGTGGACTTGCTGGTGTGTTTTGGATCATTGTCCTGCTGCAGAACCCAAGTTCGCTTCAGCTTGAGGTCACGAACAGATGGCCGGACCTTCTCCTTCAGGATTTTTTGGTAAACAGCAGAATTCATGGTTCCATTTATCACAGCAAGTCTTCCAGGTCCTGAAGCAGCAAAATAGCCCCAGACCATCACACTACCACCACCATATTTTACTGTTGGTATGATGTTCTTTTTCTGAAATGCAGTGTTACTTTTACGCCAGACGTAATGGGACACACACCTTCCAAAAAGTTCAACTTTTGTCTCGTCAGTCCACAGAGTATTTTCCCTAAAGTCTTGGGGATCATCAAGATGTTTTCTGGCAAAACTGAGACGAGCCTTTGTTCTTTTTGCTCAGCAGCGGTTTTCGTCTTGGAACTCTGCCATGCAGACCATTTTTGCCCAGTCTCTTTCTTATGGTGGAGTCATGAACACTGACCTTAACTGAGGCAAGTGAGGCCTGCAGTTGTTTGTATGTTGTTGTGGGGTCTTTTGTGAGCTCTTGGATGAGTCGTCGCTGTGCTCTTGGGGTAATTTTGGTCGGCCGGCCACTCCTGGGAAGGTTCTCCACTGTTCCATGTTTTTGCCATTTGTGAATAATGGCTCTCACTGTGGTTCGCTGGAGTCCCAAAGCTTTAGAAATGGCTTTATAACCTTTTCCAGACTGATAGATCTCAATTACTTTCTTTCTCATTTGTTTCTGAATTTCTTTGGATCTCGGCATGATGTCTAGCTTTTGAGGATCTTTTGGTCTACTTCACTTTGTCAGGCAGGTCCTATTTAAGAGATTTCTTGATTGCGAACAGGTGTGGCAGTAATCAGGCCTGGGTGTGGCTAGAGAAACTGAACTCAGGTGTGATAAACCACAGTTTTAACAGGGGGGCAAACACTTCTTCACACAGGGCCATGTAGTTTTGGATTTTGTTTTGCCTGAATAATAAAAACCTTCATTTAAAAACTGCATGTTGTGTTTACTTGTGTTATCTTTGACTAATATTTAAATTTGTTTGATGATCTGAAACATTAAAGTGCAAAAAAATAAGAAATCAGGAAGGGGGCCAACACTTTTTCACACCACTGTAGATAGGAATAAACCTGCAAAGTTAGAAAAAAACTTGTTTTGCAAAAACAGCCTTTAAAGATATGCATTATAATTAAAAGTGCAATAAAATGCACACATAAATGTATATTTTGCATGCTTCCTTCCCACTAGTCTAAAAAAAAAAAAAAAAGAAGTCAAATAGTCCAAAATCTCAAAATTGACCAGTGCATGAAAAACAAAATTTTTTGCCTTAAGTTTATATTAAATGTAGTTTTTTTGAGGTGACTGTTGAAATTTTGAGTACTGGTTTTGTATGGGGAAATACTGTACACTAGTTTTAGAATAAATCTAGTTCTGAGGGCACCTTTATGTTGGGGTTCAAAGTTTGCTACTTTTGTTCTTTATGCAACCTGAAACGCAGGTTTCTGTTCAACACCAATACAAACTGGTGTGCATCACGTGTTAATGTAACCGTAATCAGGCACATGATGTGTAGCAGGGCGAGTGATGGGCAGATGGTAGCGTAGGGAAAGCTCCAGATACTTCTTATTCAGCTCCTCCTTCCCTTCACAACCTGAACCTGATCTCCGCAGACCCCCTGCACTCCAGCCGGTGACTAATGATTTCCTCTTCGTCACAGGAAAATAAAAACACCATCCCTCCTCCTCATCTCTGCATTTTCTGTATCTGACCTGCGATCCCTGAAGACAACAGGACAACTGAAATGGCCTCTATCCAGGGCAGGAAAATGCCAGATTGGTGAAATTAGGACACTTGCTGTCAATGCTAACAATGATGTTTTTATGTGCTTGCAGGGTGTTTATATGTTTTTTCGGAGGTGCTAAATAGCTACACTGTGCTGGCATATTGTGAGGCAAAGATTGCTGTGTGCTGCATTGTGTTTGGAAACGAGCTGAAACCATCTGTCGCAGTGAAGCGATCATATGCTATTAATTTCTTAAGAACACACTGACTTGCTGCATGACATACTAGCACAAAAACAGTAACATGCTGTAGGCCAGGCAACATGACACTTACCAGATTTTCTGGAATATAAATTGCATTTTTTTATCATCTGAATCATGCTGCGACTTTTTTTCCCCAAATTAATTTATATAATGGAATTAAAGGAATAGTTTACTCAAAAATGAAATTTGGCTGAATATGTACTCACCCTCAGGCCATCCAAGATGTGGACGAGTTTGTTTCTTCATCAGATTTGGAGAAATGTAGAATTACATCACTTGCTCACCAATGGATCCTCTGCAGTGAATGGGTGCCGTCAGAATGAGAGTCCAAACAGCTGATAAAAACATCACAATAATCCACACGTAATCCACACTAATCCAGTCCATCAGTTAATGTCTTGGGAAGCCAAACAATTATATTTAATGTGTTTTTTTTACTACAAACCATTGCTTTTGGCTTCCTCTTGTGATCTGCTCTGAATCAGGAGAGAAATCTGCATGAAGCAGCGTTTACAAGCCCAAAACAGTTTTAAACAAGTATTGTTTGTATTGTATTTTGATGTGAGAGATAACATGGGATGGACTTTTCCACTGGTGGAAGTGTTATTATGGATTATGGACTCATATTTTGGCCAGAAGCAACAGTGTAATGATGGGTTTGTTTCTTACAAGCATGCAGCTTTTGGCTTCACAAGACATTAACTGATGGACTGGAGTGGTGTGGATTATTGTGATGTTTTTATCAGCTGTTTGGACTCTCATTCTGACGGCACCCATTCACTGCAGAGGATCCACTGGTGAGCAAGAGATGGAATGATGCATTTCTCCAAATCTGTTGAAAAAACAAATCTATCTTGGATGGCCTGAGAGTGAGTCAGCAAATTTTCAGCAAATGTTCATTTTTGGGTGAACTATTTTGTGTGACACACATACTCCACGCCATTGAGATGCAACGATCATTTTCAATTAATTATAGACCTCTGGTTACTTTACAGAAATAAATGGGCTGTGAATTATGATTAATGTTGACATTATTCGTTTGCTAATTGTTAATTCTTAATTTTTTTCTGAAAAGAGGTATTTATTGTCATGCAGACTTCAAAACAGATGGCATATCTGGAGTTTATATGCTGGGGTGTATTGTTTCCAGATTGGCACATTGTTTTATACTGAATGTCAAGTATAAGATCATAAAACAATGGTTGGCATTGATCATTTGCACACACTCGAGCAGTGCTGAGTTGTAATTCTCCACAAAGACGATCTGTCCGACTGTTGTCTAAAGTCCTGCAGGTTATTTTGGGTGTGTTTGCCTCTCTCTCCCTCTGTCCCTAAAGTCTCCAGAGAGCCAGTCTGAAGTGTCGGCTCTGAAACAGCACAGAATCGATGGTTCAGGGCTTGAGGTAACTGAGATTTTGAAACCTCAGTGTCCTCTTAATAAGAGCATCTCAGCGGCAGGCCAGTGGAAAAACGAGCAGGGTTAATTAATTAGAGATGAACGGCTGAGAGGTTAGATTTGATCCTGTTCTCTTTTTGTATTATAAAGAGCACTGCTTGATCGTGCCATGTGGTTTTATGCCAGAGCGAATGGGCTGTTTTCAGGAGAGCCTGTTGTGCATTACCATCAGCCACATGGGCGCTCTTCTGCTCGGTGTTATTGTTATTTTTGTTGTGTAGTGAAGTACAGTTTGTGCAGTTGTGTTTCCCAGGCAGTGAATGTTGCTCGTGTTTATTGGATATGTTTCAGCTCAGTCTGTGGCATTGCTCTTTGTGTGTCTCCTGAGACTGAAGTGTTATCTAACAGTCCAGAATGCAACATGGGCATTTGTGCTACTGCAGACTTTTATTTTGTTTAACAGTGTATATAAATGCATTACAGGTGAATTCTGTCATTTTGTGGGAAGTCATGAATTTTTCTATCACTCCTCAAAAGATGTGTGTCATTTAAAAAATGTTTTTGAATAAAAGTGTAGACTCTTTTGTCTTGCTTAGGTTGCTCAGTGTTGTTATATAGTTAACTAACTAAAGGCATTAAAAAAAAATTTGTTACTTGAAATAAAACAAACGTTAACTAAATAAAATATCTTTAGAAATTCAACATATTTTATTTCAGCTAGTTACCATGGAAACATTTTATTTAGTTTAACTTGATGTACTAAAATAATAACATTAATAAAAACTATATAGACCTATTATAAAAGAAACAACAACAAATCAAAAATACAAAAAAGCACAACAAAATGACTAAAACATAATAAATAAAATTCAAACTATCAATGCATAACTAAAAATGATAATAGTTTTTATTATAGTAGTGTCTTGAATAACACTGAGCATTTCATGTATCATAAATACACACAATTATGGAATAGTTTCACGTTTTTAAATAATTGGACAAAATTACAGCTTGATTAGAAATGACACATAACAATATATATTCTGTCGAAAGTTATATTTATCTTGATTTCTGTGGTTTAGTGATAAAGTATTTATCTTGATGTCTCATATTTAATCTCTGTAAACAGATACAATACAATTGTGGGCGAAAAACTTTATTATGAGCAAAATTATCGGTTGTGGTAAAAATGTTGAATGTTGAATTTTTATTAATTAATTCATTAGATTTATTAAAAAATATTAATATTTAATAATGTAAAACAAAATATACATATCAAAATAATATAAGTAATTTTCTCACTATTACTATTGAAATGGTTAATAGTTATTTCACCGCTTGTTTAGATCACAATGGTTTTAAAGTATTAATTCATATTTTATGGTGGATTTTTATAGTGTTTCAAGACAGCAGTGCTCTGATATTCTTCAAACTATTTATTTGTCTTCTACTTAAGTAGTTTCTGAAATTAATTCAGTTTTATAGATAACTTAAATGCTGCTTTCTGTATGTTTAAGATGTTTATAGCATGTTAGTGTAATTCTAGTAATTCAAGTCGATTGGAGATTTACAATAAAATTCCTATTGACTTGCATTAATAGAATTATACACTGTGGTATAAACAGTTGCATTGCATTATGCATTGCATGCTGACACTCTGACATGAAACACATGAAATCAAGCTTGTATAACTAGAAACATTTGTGTTCACCAAAACTTACCTCAAATCTTAATGCTGTTCTTTTGCTGCCTTTCTCTTTTTCACTTTCTCTCACTATAATCAGTTAAATCATTTTTCTTTTATGCCAAAAATCATTACGATATTAAGTAAAGATCATGTTCCATGAAGATATTTTGTAAATTTCCTACCGTAAATATATCAATACTTAATTTTTGATTAGTAATATGCATTGCTAAGGACTTCGTTTAGACAACTTTAAAGGCGATTTTCTCAATATTTAGATTTTTTTGCACCCTCAGATTCCAGATTTTTAAATAGTTGTATCTCAGCCAAATATTGTCCTATCCTAACAAACCATACATCAATGGAAAGCTTATTTATTCAGCTAATGTAGCTGAATAAATGTATAAATCTCAATTTCGAAAAAGGGACCCTTATGACTGGTTTTGTGGTCCAGGGTCACAAATAAATAAATGTAAGCAGAAAGGTTTTTGACACCAAATGAATGATCTTCATACAGTATTGCAAATAAAGAATATGATGTTCTAACGAGCTCTTTTGGTTTTCTTCTCTGCAGGATTCGGGATGACCACCCCTGTGACAGTAGCTGGAAAGGTTTTCTTGATCTTCTACGGTCTGTTGGGTTGTGCGGCCACCATCCTGTTCTTCAACCTCTTTCTGGAGCGCATCATTACCCTGCTGGCCGTGGTGATGAAAGCCGTGCGTCTGCGGCGTCTACGGACCAGCGGCCTCCTCCCGCCGGGGATCTGCCAGGACTTCGCGGCGAGTACGTTGCCCGGTTGGAAACCCTCGGTGTACCACGTGATGCTCATTCTGGGTTTGTCGGCCATCGTGATCTCCTGCTGCGCGTCGGCCATGTACACTCCAGTCGAAGGCTGGGCGTATCTGGACTCGCTGTATTTTTGCTTCGTCACCTTCAGCACCATTGGTTTCGGAGATTTGGTGAGCAGCCAAAACGCTGCGTACGGCTACCAAGGACTTTACCGTTTGGCCAACTTCCTCTTCATCTTGACTGGAGTATGTTGCATCTACTCGCTCTTCAACGTCATCTCCATCGTCATCAAGCAGGTCCTCAATTGGATGTTGGAGAAAATGAGCTGCATGTGTTGCCAGCGCTGCAACAAAGCCAATGCTTTCTTGGGACGCCGCAACGCCATCAGGCCCGGCTCGCGCCTCAGACGCGGACGCTTCGGCCGAACGCCAGACTCGGACAGGCCTTGCGATAGTGACACTGAAGGACGCAGGCTCTCGGGCGAGATGATCTCCATGCGGGACTTGACAGGATCCAATAAAATCTCGCTGGCCATCATGCAGAAACAGCTGTCGGAGTCAGCGAATGGATATCCCAGAACGGTGTGCGGAAGCTCACGGCAGAACGGTTTTTCCGGCGGCGTCGGTGCTTTGGGCATCATGAACAACCGATTAGCAGAAACCAGTGACTCTAGGTAGAGGTAACCTTTGTACGCATCTCAGAAATGATTGTTTTTAGCAGTAAAACCTCTCCAACTCTCTCTGGACGTTGAGGGGTTTGCGATTTCAATTTTTGAGCTTGTGTAGAACAGCATGGCATGCATGAACTGTGTAGGATATCCTGTAGGATTTTTGGATCGTGACTTGCTACGGCGTATGCTACGAACGCGTGCTAGGAAGTAACGGTGCACTCAAATCATGTCGGAAAGATCGTACTTATGAGTTGAACGCACATGAGCGTCAGAAAGTTACAAATACGAGTGGGAAATGAGAAAAGTCCCGAGTTGGGATCCGATGGTGTCATTGAGTCAGATGCAATGAATGCAGCTTCTGTATTAATGGTAAATTGCCTCAAATTAATGAAATTAGATTTTTTTAGTCTAAGTTGCATGCATAAAATACCATAGTACTGTGCAATTACATTAGAATATATAACCATTCAATTTACAACACTAAAAATTGAACAAAAGCATAAAAAGCTAAAACACACTAGATGCACATTTAGTCATCATTTTTATAGTAAAAAATCATTCAGGTTTTACTTGAAGCATTTATGTATAATGCATTATTAAGTGTTTAAAATATATTCAGATTATATATTTTCATAAAATGCATTATAATATTTGCAGATTCCCACAAATTGATTGTTTGTCATGCGTTTCAATGCATTATGATTTCTTAAGGTGTAACAATGAATGCAACATTTATTCATGAGATCATACAATGCATTATTAAACTGCATTACAAAGCATTAAAATACTTTTATAAAGCATTATATATATAGTGAACCAAAATTCACCGACCTAAGCACCTGATGTCGTAATTATGACTCCCAACTCGTAAATACGAACTTCCCAGGAGGATTTGAATGCACCTTAAGTGATTTTGCATATTCTAGTAATCAACCGTAACAAACCCTAATTACGCAAATCATATTCTCTAGAATTTGTACAGTACTGTACAACATGAACTAACCCTAAACGCTCTGAAGTTAGACTTGACTACCAGTGACTATTCACAGGAGCCGAGAAGAGCCTGTCAAATCTCAAATAAGTAAAAGTAGCATCCTATTTACTTACAGCACACTTGATTTACAACTATGCATCATCTCCATGTCGCAAACATACTTAGTCTTGAGCTGCATCCCGGTTTGCATACTTCTGCTGTGTACTAAAAGTATGTACTTCACTGCTCAATGGAAAGTCCATACTCAGTATTTGGACATACTACAATGTCTCAAAATGCACAGCCTCTCTTATTATGTACAGTTTGCGTCTTAACATCCAGCTGAATTCATTACCTGCATTATTATGTAACTTTTAGGTTCATGCAATTAACAAAATGTTTCAATCTATCATTCTTTGGCACTTCTTTTCGGCAAAAAGTCAAAAGAGTATTGTTCAAAAACGATTGTTCTTTCATAGTGCAACAGTACAGAAAATAATAATACGTTTTAATAAGTTAATTAATAATATTTTTGACTTTTTTTGACCTGTTTTATGGTTAAAACATCTGAAAATCCTTAAAACAGCATAAATTTACTTAACAACACTGCATAACATATCAGAACTCACTGAACTGGCAGATTTTTCAGTAGTTTTAAATATAAGTTGGAAAAAAGGGGCGGCGGGGTGGGGGGGGGGTATATTAGCATAAACATGAATAAAGTCTTAGTATCTCATGCAGGAAAAAGGGGGGGGGGGGGGGGGGGGGGGGGTATATTAGCATAAACATGAATAAAGTCTTAGTATCTCATGCAATGTTGCTCTCCAGTAAATTTATTATGTTTTAAGCATTATTGGAAAGCAAAACTACTAATTCAGTATTAAGTTTTTTTTTATGACTTATGAGTCATTTTCAACACCACTTTTGATCTAGAACACTATTGAGGACGGATACTGTGTGAGCTAGTATGCAGCACTAATTAAAGACAAACGTAGAACAAAGCTTATTTCTCTGCAAATGATGACTTTACAGTATGCAGATTAGAGGGTTGGGAGGTTGGGAGTTTATACAGTATAAGCGAGTGCATTTACTGTACCCCTTCAGATCTGTGTTGCTATCAGTAAGGATCTCATGGCAAAGAGATGCCACAGTTTGAAAAAATCAGCTGAGGCTTGTACACCCTCGTAGTAATATGATGAGATGCACCAATGAGCTGAGCAGAGCATCTTCAAAGCCAAACTCTGTTGTTCCCCAAAGAGGAGAGAGGAGGAGCTGAAGAGATGGAGTGAGACAGAGTGAAGAAGAATAAAGTGAAGAATCCGTGAGAGAGAGAATATATGAGCCATCTATCAGCACAGAACTAGACTTCCAGCGGAGCTCGTGTTCATCTGCCAGACCTCTGCAGACCGAACGTTAGTGCCCTCAACCCCTCCTCTATCATCTTATTAACGCTGTCTACATAAAATCCTCTCAGATGGTGTTTGCTACACCTGCCCTTGCTTGGTAGGATGCATAATATCATGCCTGGTGTTCAACTGAGGAAGCTCTATTCAAATAGAATAGCCTCAGTTGTTGAATAACCATTTAGAAAGAAGTTTAGGGAAGTATGCATGCTATATTCAGTGTTTCTGCAGGTATTAAAAAGTCCCCTAAAATCCACAAATGAAGGCCTTTAATCAGTCTTAAATGCATAAAGGCATGACATTAAATGTTGCAGGCATTGCAAAAAAACGAATATCTTGGAAAGATATTCTAAATCGATATGAATACAGTAAATCAAGTTATATTTACTTGAGATGAAATGTAAAATGAAGTCTTGAAAAATGTATCAAAATTGAGTTTATGCTTAAAACATGAACAAATGTGGTATGAAAACTTATTTTCTCTTGGAATTAAGTAGATTTTTCTGAGCCCATTGGCAGATGTTTGTTCTTGTTTTAATCTTGAACTCACTTCATTTTGATTAATTTCGCATAGAACAAGACTTTTAATTTGATATCTTTTTGCTTTTAGTAAATGTATCTTGATTTAAGAATCTTTAAACATTTGCACTGGGAAACAACAAAAACATCTCTTTTTTGCAGTTTGATTAGGAGGTACAGTAGAAGTTATTACAAAAAATACATTTAGAGAACATGATGTATTGCATTCCCTTTCATTTATCTCTTAAGTTTTCTTTACTTGGTCTTAAAAATATAAGAAATTTAAAACCTGCAGAAACCCTGTATATTGTTTGGCACAATGAATGTGTTTACATGCACAATCCTACACTGACGTGCTTAACAAGCAGACAACCTTGAGATTTAAAAGATTGGCATGAAATTTACATGAGATTTTGAAATGGATTGGCATCAAAGTGTAAACAAGACTTGCACAAATTGAGTAAAGTCAAACAAAATTGTCGTTACATCTAAAGTAAAATGGGAGTAAAGTGTAAAAATCAGTTGTGCTTAAACCCTCTGCAGAATGTGTCGTTTAAAACATTCGATCATGCATGTAAATGCACTCATTAACATACTTAGATTTTTCCCTATTATTTTGAATTTGCTTTGCATTTGCAACAGCATAATCAACATTCTGCCAGCTTATTTAGTGTGTACATCTGACTGTGCAAAACTGAAACCTAATCATTTCAAAATCTCATGTAAACAAGTCTTTCTTGTGTTGGTGGTTTAATAATTCGGACAAACTCCTAAAACGATTTTTTTATATCGCTATTTAGTTTGCATGTAAACAAACTCATAATGACGCTCATGTGCATTTTTGAGCCGTTCTGCGCTCCCATTGGTAAACACCGCAATGCGTCACTGCTCACTTGCATCAAGTTGAACTCTAATGCACTTTGTTGCATTGCAAACAAACTGGCTCATGTTGCCTCAATTCACCAGCCCTCATTGAAAATGAATGACTTCCAGTTGCTTTCTTGCTGCAAAACCCTGCCAATGCAAACTCTCCTTTCCCCCAAATGATAAATCAAACTGCTTTAATAAAACAAGGAATATTGCTTGAAGAATTGTAATAGATGCTAAATGAGCTGCCACGCAGCATTTGTGTATGTAGCAGACAGAAACAGATGCTAGTGTGCTGAAAACCCTTAAATCCTGACATGATAAGAGTAGAAGAGAGGGAATCCAGTCCCTCAGGTGTGATAAGGCATCAGCACAGATGTAGTTTCCATTAGCTAGCTCTCTGCTGGTGATCTATACCGTCTCTGCTCAGCTCTCTTCTGCTCCGGAGAACAACAGCTCGCGTCTGCATTCACAACACAAACACAGCACAAAAACACAGACGTACAGTACACTCTCCCTCCCTTAGCACAGCACAGTTCACACTCTCTACCCACACTTAGAGTGAATCTACCTGTATGTAACTCACTGTAAATAGTCAAGCGGAACAATTTCGGATTCTTTTTGCATATTGCAAAGGGAAACTGTGAGGAATGACTGAAGATCGCGGCTCTTGCTTATAATATACAACCTCAGGTAGTTCAATCTGATGTAGTTTTTTGCATGCTACTATGGTAAAGCCATACGAGAGGCACTTGTATCTCTTATAGGTCTATTTTTATATATATGTATTATACTGTATGTATTATCTGGCAGTGATGGTGTACTTGGAAAGAACAAATGACTTGTTTAAATGTGCTTGAACTGTAATGAAAACTAGGGGATGGCAGTATGAACAAAATATAACTTATTACAAGTTAGTTGAGGTATATATCATGAAATTCAACTGAAAGATGTTTATATATTAAATTACCATGAGATAATGCTCATTTATAATCCAGTGAATTTTTGGTTATCTGATTGTTTTCTCTGATATAAAATCCGGCTTAAACTGGTGACTGGTTTCTAGCTCATCTAACTTGGTCATTAGCTGGTCCAAGACCAACTTGGATCAACGATAAACCAGTTACCAACTGGTCATGCTAGTTTAAGGTGGTCAAACTGGTGTTTGAACATGCTATACACTGCTATTTTAATATTAATTATCTACTAGTGTAGTTTTTATTAAAATTATATTTTATTATTTAT